TAAAGCAACTGCAGCTGTCAACAAGTGAGTAGAACTGAAGTGAAGTGAGAGTGGCAATTGGAAAAGCTCCGAAACACTATTGCTGGTTGTATTGGGCGCGTCAATCTTTCATCACAACTTTGCCTACTGAGGCAGCAGCAGAGCACACACTGCTGAGACTTGAAGAAGAAGAGGAGGAGGTAGGTGACAGAGAAAGAAAACATAATCGAAATGGTGAGATTTATTTTGAGCCATACTTGTCCTGGTTCATGGCGTAGATGAGCGTCGCGGAGGCGATCAGACCGCCGGCAAAGCCGAAGCCAGCGCGCTTCAGGCGAAGGCGAGTCAGTGCAGGACCTGTTAGAGGAAAAAAGAGATAAGTTTTAAAAACAGGAGTTGATACCAAGTTCCAGTCAAAGACTGATTACCTTGAAGGCCTTCCATCGCCTTCGACTGACTGAGGGCACCGTAGAGCGTGCCGGTGGTGGTGGCGGCGACCGCGGTGTTGATCTCATCATTCTCATCCTGAATGAAGCTCAGGCCGACGCCGATTGCCGAGTAGATGAGCGCTATCACGCCGAAGGTATTCCCCATCGGTGCCCCGTTTCGGGTGATGTAATTTAGCAGGTGGGTTCGCTTCACGGAGAGCGCCTCGCTGATCTTGGAAACCTCCCGGAGACCTAAAGTAAGGCGAAAAAGCAGTCTTTTAGAACTCATGTTGTCATGGAAAAGGGCAAAAGTTCTCTCCTACCTTTGAAGGTGCCCATTGCACCGCCGATGCCGGCGCCCATGCCCACGGAGAAGCCGATCTGACCGAAAGCGAGCTCAAAGCGACCTCGCGAGGACTTGGTCGCGCCCTCGGGAAAGATGAACTCATTTGATATCAGTGGCGGCTGCTGCATCACAGAGGGGTCCACCTGAAGGAAGGGCGACTGGAAGGGCGACGAGGGGCCACCGCCGACGCCTCCGGCGCCCGAGAAGCTCAGGCCACCGAGGCCGCCCAGCGGCGAGCCACCGGAAAAGGACTCATTTGAAGATCTACGATCCATTTCTGGAAGGGTGGGAAGAGTTGAAAATGAGGATGACTTCGATGTTCTTCGGTGTTCTTCGGCTTCAAGTACGGCACGACCTGCACCACGCGCTGCACCAAAATCAATGCTTGCAAATCAGCATCAGCTGGTGATGCAAAAAGCAAAACAACAGACTTTCGTAGAGAGCGTTACCACATGGGCAGGGAAGCCAACTTTCAGAAAATTGGCGGGATTCCATTTATTTTGATGCTGATTTCCAACAAAGCTCGTTTCTGCAAACATTTTCGGCGGGCCTGTCATTGAAAACTGCTGGTTTCGAAGTCATCATGGCCAGCTTACCGACCGTTCCATAGAGTAAAAGCGTATCCGAAAGTGTCGGCGGTCGGCAAGAGTTATCCGTACAAGTATTAAGCCACAAAAAACTGTTCGGGTAAGTGTTTAGACAGTACCAGACACTGGCAAATAATGGGCTTTCGTTTCGATGGCTTTTTCTCTTTCTCTTTCTCTCTCTCTTTAGTACAACACTCTAAAAATGGCCCACAATCTTCTTCCTCCTTCTCCTCTTCAAGACAACAGCTGTGGTACAATTGCGATGACTGACTGAACAAGAGAAGCTGAGATTCCACCAGCCATTTTCTCGCTCGCTCGCTCTAAATATAACCTGATGAGTAGTCGGGAGTAGTGGAAGAAGAAGAAGCTGATGCTCTGCCGACGATAAAAAGTATGATTCTGCTCAGATGAAGTCGCTCGCTCAATTCTTCCTCCTCTTCTGCTTCAACACTAGGTCACGCAGGCAAAGTGTTTCGAGTTTTTGCAGTTTTTGCTTGCTTTCTTTCAGTCGGCAATTTTGTCGCCGCTTAGTGCTGCAAAGCTGGTCCATCTTATTCATCATCCTAGGCCTTAGTCAACACCATCAAAACTCAGCTCAACGACAAGCAGCAACGACAATTTCGATTTACCAGCGAATGCTTTCAAAGTACCACCAACGAGCAGCAACAGCAGCAACAACTTCGCTCCCACCGGCTCCCAGCAGCCATGTGCTTCTTCTCATCCATCTCGGCTGATCAGTGACTCCAAATCAAACCGAAGTTCAACAGCTATCACCAACACCGAATCTAATCATCGGCCAAATCATCATCGTGNGTTCATCTCGGCTGATCAGTGACTCCAAATCAAACCGAAGTTCAACAGCTATCACCAACACCGAATCTAATCATCGGCCAAATCATTACCGTGCCTGAACAGCATGGGCGACACCGAGGGCAGCTCAGAGCAGGATGATGTTTCATTTCTGCGCACGGTAAGTCTGTTCTTTTTCACCATTTTCTTCAAATGATTTAGAAACCCAACTCTGCTTCCCTTATTTTTTGACTTGCTCGCTTTCCGCTTCCTAAGCCTCTCTTCGCCAGTCTCTCTATTATATCAATTTTGCAATTGAAAGTGTGCTCGG